GTGTATGTTTATATATGTACATATACTGCATATATATATTTGTATGTGTGGGTAGTGTATACAGTATATATATGTATGTGTGTGCATGTGCGTGTGTGTGCGCGCGCGCGCGTGTGTGTGTGCGTGTGTTTCTATGCACAGTATGCATGTATGTATAATTTATAAATGTGTGTGAGCATGTAGGTATGTATAGGATTCTTACTGAATAAGTTGTGCATTGGCATATCCTGAAGAGGTTTTTACAGTGAAAAAGGGCTATGGTATATTCATGTGTTTTTTTTTGTTTCTCACTTTGTTGTTTTATTAACAATATACATGAATGTATAAACATACATACACACATATTTACATATCTATATGCATATATGTGTGTGTGTATATAAATACTGTATATATATATATATATATATATATATATATACATCTATAGATATAAATATATTTATATATATTTACATGTATATGTATGTATTCATATATATATACATATATATTTACATATATATGTATGTATATACATACTCTGTATATATATACATACTCTGTATATATATACATATATGCATATATATATACATATATACATATATATATACACATACATATGTATTGGTATATATATGTGCATCTGTGTATATGTGATTATATAGTAAATCATCTATCTATACATCTGTGTATGTATGTATGCATCTATCTGTCTGTATATCTGTATTTATCTCTTTCTTTCTATTTATAAAGTAAGTCAGCTTTCAAAACATGTGTTACAGTCTATGGGAAAACGTCACCTTAACATGTATGTATATATATGAATACATATAATTTTTCTGCTGTACCTGAACATATATATACAGAGAGACTTATATAAACACCTATAACATTGTAGGCATGCTTGGCGACATGAATATGAATATTTAAAAAATATTTCGTATAGTTCCTTGAATTATCATGGTTTTGTCCTGGTTGTCAATGCACCTCCATGATAACTATTAGGCTTAGATTAGGAGGCCGCTGTCCTCAGTAGAATCTAAGCCTGGTGTTATCACAAGGACATCCACCCTGGTCGGCTACAAGGCTCTATGTAGTCCAGGAACGCGTCCTGAGGAAGTATAAAAAGGCGTGTCTTGTGGGTTCGTCATTCATTGCTCACAGTAGCCGCAGTAGGAGTGCTGTGACGACGAAACACGATCAATATGAAATTTCTGGTGAGGTTCCTTGACTCTTGCTCTCTTTCGGAGACAATCATTGCGTATATATAGCCTAGTGTGTCCGCGAAGGTTTTATCGAATGTAATATGAAAGTTGATAATTATTTTTTTTTTTTTACTTTTTGATCATTCTAAACATCTGTATTTACAATTTTCCATCTGCAGGCAGCTATCTGCGTGTTCGCCGTCGGCGTGAGCGCACAGGTTGGGCCTTCGGGCATCGTCAGCCCCGATGGGGTGAACACCCAGTTCTCCCACGACTTCGCCAATGACATCGTGCTGGTTGGACCCGCTGGCATCGTCACGAAGTCTGGCGCCAACCGCCAGCTTACCCACGGAGAGGCCACCCTTCACGTTGCTGCACCAGCTGCTCCTCTTCCTGTGGCTCAGATGGTGTCCCAGCGTGGCGTGATTGGGCACTCTGGCATCGTTCGCCCAGTTGGTAACAACGTCCAGTTCACCCACGCCCAGGCTGGCAACATCGTGCTGGTTGGCCCATCTGGCATCGTGACCAAGGACGGCTCCAACATCCAGCTGACCGACGACCTCCACTTCGTCCAGAAGCGCGATACCTATGGGCATCTGGTGGGAGCCTCAGGAATCGTGACCAAGGATGGCCAGCTGATCCAGCTGGAACCTGGTGTGGTTGTGGCCATCGCTGGTCCCTCCGGCGTGGTTCTGTCCAACGGAAAGAACATTCAGCTCAACCTGTAAATGAGTTTTCCATTCTAATACAAAAAATATATATATAAAAAAACATCTTATCGCAATCTGATATCGTAATCTATTTTATCAATTTGTTAAATTCTTAATTTAACAAACAAAGGTTTATAGACAACAACACAGAAAGATCATCCAGCTCATCTGATAATTTTGTACTTACGTAACTTCCAATAAACCTTTCTACGAAACTGGCATGTTACTAAGGTTAATTAGGTATTATCCTTGGGAATGTCTCTCTTTCACACGAAGACAATAGCACTTAAAACGAATAAATAAAAGCAAGGAAAAATATGTCTAATTGGTGTAATTCTTAAAGAATTCGTTGAAGGAGAGGTAAGCCACACTTGCTCTGCCTTCTGTACAGTCTCGCTATGTGTACTCATACGCCCGGGCACACAGACACATATATCTGTATATTATGTATACATATGAATATATATACATATATGTAAATATATGTACATATATATACACATATCTACACATGCCCTAGTCTCTAAAAAAGAATTTGATACTTTATATATAAGTATATATTTCGAAAAATATGAAAATATTCTGTCCATTTACCTATAGAATATCTAATAACTTCCGACAAGTTAGACCAGGAAATAAAACTAATATTTTTTTTGTGAATAAGTAGATTTGAAGTTTAGATAAACGTTTCGATCTGTAAGTGTAGCTAGTCTTTATTTTTCATATCTTTATTTTTTATTTTTCATCATTGCTTTGCCAATTCCCTTTATTCAGATAGTCCTTCCTTATGTGAATGTGCATAGAGATGGGAATAAGATTAATAGGTAGTGCAGTTACAGTGAAGCACGATTTCAGAATCTTGTATGTAATTTTTACATTTGTTTTACATTACTGAGAGAAGTAAACTAATTTTATTTGTAGAAATAGGTATTGTTGGTGGATTTATTCATAATTTAGATTGCATTACAACTGTTAATAAGATGCGCATAATCGTGAGACAACATTTACTGGCAGAGATGAAAAAATGGAAAATATACCAATTTACAAGAAATGCTTGTTCTTTTCCAATATATATATATATATATATATATATATATATATATATATATATATATATATAAATTCTCATGACTTTCATAAAAATAAGAGTAAAGACCGTTTTCAACGTAAATTCACTTTACTAAAATATTTCATAGGAAATCACACACACAAACCAAACACACACACACACACACACACACACACAGAAACCAACCACATACACACAAACCACACACACGCATAAACCAAACACACACACACACAAACACACACAGACGTATGTCAAATTTCCTGTTTTAATGTTATGCTCTTATATACTATTTATTAAAGAGAGGCATCTGATCTCCACAAATATTCTTCCTTTCTACTTTATTATATATATTACAATACACTCACTGCACTTCAATAAGGAACAGAAATAAAATCCTCCGTCTGTATACTTGATTTTCTTTATGATTTTCTCCCAAAATCAAGGAGCCTTATGTCAACAATAAAAGTATTTTCCCAAATGTAATATTACTCATACTTGAAAAGAAAATAAGAAAAATGAAGTAGGCATTTTTGAAAGTCATCGAACTTTCGAAACGAATATTAAAAGTCTTGAATTCATAATTTCGACATTTAAGTGTTTTTATTTGACTTAATTAAACTTCCTGATGTCAGTAACCGTGTCTTTTTAACCTATATAGAAAGAAATTTAATATTTTTCATGATGTTACAGGAGGTTATATTTATACTGATGCTGGAGATATGCTGCCTCTAAAACACATAATATTGGTATCCATAAGTATATGTTTGTTATGGACACAATTTGTATAATTGTACTAATCTCCCTATGAAGGAATAGTGTTCATTTTTTTATTTACCAAATATACCATGTACATGATATTGACAGTAAAAAAAAAAAAAAAAAAAAAAAAATCTCAAGATCTTTATCAGCTTGTCAAGCAAGATTTATATAAAAGTTGGAGAAAAAAGTTCCTTTAATGAGTGATTTCACATCGAGAGGCCACTGATCTCCGGGGCTCACTCACTGGCTCCTGACGCAAGGACATCAGCAATCGACGTCCTGGAAAGTTATATATACCTGGCCACGCCAGGTATATAAAGACGTTTCCACACAGTTCTGGTATCATTCAGGCTCGCAGAAGCCAGGGTTGGAGTTCTGTGACCAACGAGCAAGATCAATATGAAAGTTTTGGTGAGGATCTCTCTGAGTTTGTTTGTCAATGTCTACAGCGATTTCTTTATCTTATATTATCATGTGAAGTGATTTGTGAACGGTTAAAGGATCTATGATTACTTTTTCTCAAGTGAGGCTATCCGTGAATGACAAAGTGACCTGCATCTCCCCACAGGCAGCTATCTGCGTGTTCGCCGTTGGCGTGAGCGCACAGGTTGGGCCTTCGGGCATCGTCAGCCCCGATGGGGTGAACACCCAATTCTCCCACGACTTCGCCAATGACATCGTGCTGGTCGGACCCGCTGGCATCGTCACGAAGTCTGGCGCCAACCGCCAGCTTACCCACGGAGAGGCCACCCTTCACGTTGCTGCACCAGCTGCTCCCCTTCCCGTGGCTCAGATGGTGTCCCAGCGTGGCGTGATTGGGCACTCTGGCATCGTTCGCCCTGATGGAAACAACGTCCAGTTCACACAGGCTCAGGCTGACAACATCGTGCTGGTTGGCCCATCTGGCATCGTGACCAAGGACGGCTCCAACATCCAGCTGACCGACGACCTCCACTTCGTCCAGAAGCGCGATACCTATGGGCATCTGGTGGGAGCCTCAGGAATCGTGACCAAGGATGGCCAGCTGATCCAGCTGGAACCTGGTGTGGTTGTGGCCAGCGCTGGTCCCTCCGGCGTGGTTCTGTCCAACGGAAAGAACATTCAGCTCAACCTGTAAATTATTCTTCCATTCTCATCCAAACAATATATCTTTTAAAACCATCTTACCGTGATCTGATGGCGAATTTACCAAATTGATAAATTTCTATTTTACCAAATAAAGATTTATAAATAATAACGTGCAGATTTCTTTTCCATCATTATATTTCCACTAATTGCTTAACAGTCACCGTTGTTTTCGTCTTTCAGTGGTTATCCTGTTTAACTTATGCATACACATACATGTACAGCACATACACACAGTTGTACATAAAGAGTAATGTACATACATACATACATATCTTTAAATAATGTAGATAAATAGGTACATTGCACACACATATAAATATATATCTGTATATATGTACGTATATAGGCATATATACTCATTTTATATAAACATCTACACACACACAAACATATACATATATAAGCATTATATATGTATATACATGCATATAAGTATATATATGTGCGTGTATATATAATTCCACATATATGTTTACACATGTGTATACACACATACACACATATATATATTTGGTTGTAAGTGTCCGTTTGTGTTCGTAAGTATATGCGTATCATATGTTGAATATTCATAGATATAAAGTAATTATACAAAAAGTGAGGCTTCCTATTATTGTTAGATCAAATAAATTTGTGAAATCTAAAGCATCTTTAGAGGCCAGTACTGAAGACAGGATTTTCTAATGAGCTTAACTCTTGCCTCATTACCCAGGAAGAACAGAAATATTGCTATTATCTTTCTCTTTTTAATTCAAGTTTTATTGTTTTGCACTCCAGATATGATAATAGGAATCACCTTATACCAAGATAATTTCGAATGACGTGATATATCATCCCCCTCCCCCCCCATGTAACACAACTGTCACTATGGCACTCCAGGACGCAAGATAACGATTTCTTCTGACTATTTATACTTTGAGAATTGCAAGTCCAACCATTTCTTTGAGTTTTTATGATTGATTTACTTATCCACTGTTACCAACTCATTTTCCCACGTGTCTGAGTGCGCGTAAAGAGGCTAATGAAATAACCAATGGAACGATAATTCAAAATCCCATTTCACTCCTCTACACTTACTGCACTCTGTTGAATGTAATGCTGATATGAGAATTGATTAGTAAATGTGACAATTTACTTAAAAATATGTGGTTATTATTTGACAATATATTCAATTCTTGATGCATTACGACTATTATATTACCCAGTCACACGAATCCATATTTAAAACTGATATTATATTTTAGATGAATTTAAGACATTACTATCATTACTGTCTGATCCTTCTAAGTAATAACAGGATCCACTTACACCATTCCTGAAACCCAATTTGCTATTGTTTATCGAGGAAAGAAGAAAAATTCCTTAGTTTCCTGTAAGGTAGTTACCTCCCATGAATTTTCTACGTAAGGCAAAAGGGGTGACTACACTAACAATAGGGACAAATTACATCTATTCTTTCATGAACAGTCGTTACCTGTTCTTAAAATACCGAAGGTCCTGTAATGAGTCTGGATCCCAGAGAGTTTGTCGTACTATAAAAAACAGCACAAAACAATTTTATGGCACTTAACGAAGCCGTCACAGTTACGAGTTTTAATTCACTAGATACTGCATTATTAAATTGTAATATATTTGGTACCAGGTTGGCACCGCATAGTCAGTCGTCACTGTCACAGGCTTTGAGGCACCTAAACGAAGGGGTGAAACTTTCCACCTTTATACCGTGTTTCTATGCTGTGTTGTTGGTAAACTAGGCTGTTCAAGATATTTTTTTTTTCAAAGATCTCATAATCTTACACCATATGCGGCGTATGTTCAGTTATTTTTATTTCTATTTCCTTTAATATGGCTTAATAAAAAAAAAAAAAATCCAGTAATTATAGAAGCGCCTTTCCCCCCACAAATACTCATTTTCACTTCCATGCGTAATGAATTCTGTTTAATAAATTACTAGTTTTATTAGTAAAGTCATTGATTATACACTAGCCGATTTCTGGCATATCAAAATAAATTAATTGAAAATCATTCCCAGAATCAATAAACTCCATTGACACATCTGAGACAGTGAGGCCACTGATCCCTGGAAATCACTTTCTTGTCCCGAGACGCAAGGCTATCAAGATCCGAAGGTTCTCCCAGACCAGGAGACCGCTTACCCGCGGCGGTATAAAAGGACGGATCCCTTTGGGTTTATCATCATTCGGACTTGCAGAAGCCTGGGTTGGAGTTCTGTGAGCGACGAGCTAGATCAACATGAAAGTCTTGGTGAGGGTTTGTTTAGAGTTGGTTTATCGGTAATTCTACGGGATTCCTTTACTTGTTCGAAATATTTAATGAGATTCGTGAATGATGATGTAATCTTTGATCAGCAGTCGAGATCAGTATGAGATTGTTTGTATTTTGTTTTATACCCATATGTTTATCTGATGGATGGTAAAGTGACCTGCATCTCCCCACAGGCAGCTATCTGCGTGTTCGCCGTCGGCGTGAGCGCACAGGTTGGGCCTTCGGGCATCGTCAGCCCCGATGGGGTGAACACCCAGTTCTCCCACGACTTCGCCAATGACATCGTGCTGGTTGGACCCGCTGGCATCGTCACGAAGTCTGGCGCCAACCGCCAGCTTACCCACGGAGAGGCCACCCTTCACGTTGCTGCACCAGCTGCTCCCCTTCCCGTGGCTCAGATGGTGTCCCAGCGTGGCGTGATTGGGCACTCTGGCATCGTTCGCCCTGATGGAAACAACGTCCAGTTCACCCATGCCCAGGCTGGCAACATCGTGCTGGTTGGCCCATCTGGCATCGTGACCAAGGACGGCTCCAACATCCAGCTGACCGACGACCTCCACTTCGTCCAGAAGCGCGATCTCTCTGGCCATCTGGTGGGAGCCTCAGGAATCATCACCAAGGATGGCCAGCTGATCCAGCTGGAGCCTGGCGTGACTATTGTCCAGGCTGGTCCCTCCGGTATCATTCTCTCTAACGGCAAGAACATCCAGCTCACCCGATAAATTATTCTTCCATGTAATCATTTTTTTATATTTTTTTAAATTTTAAACCATCCTATTGCGATCTGATGGCGAAATTATCAATTTGATAAATTTATATTTTACCTAATAAAGATTTATAAATAATAACGCGCAGATTTATTTTCCAACATTATGTAAAAGACTATATACATATTTGTATGAATGTATGTATACATATTTGTATGAATGTATGTATACATATTTGTATGAATGTATGTATACATATTTGTATGAATGTATGTATACATATTTGTATGAATGTATGTATACATATTTGTATGAATGTATGTATACATATTTGTATGAATGTATGTATACATATTTGTATGAATGTATGTATACATATTTGTATGAATGTATGTATACATATTTGTATGAATATATGTATACATATTTGTATGAATGTATGTATACATATTTGTATGAATGAATGTATACATATTTGTATGAATGTATGTATACATATTTGTATGAATGTATGTATACATATTTGTATGAATGTATGTATACATATTTGTATGAATGTATGTATACATATTTGTATGAATGTATGTATACATATTTGTATGAATGTATGTATACATATTTGTATGAATATATGTATACATATTTGTATGAATGTATGTATACATATTTGTATGAATGAATGTATACATATCTGTATGAATGTATGTATACATATTTGTATGAATGTATGTATACATATTTGTATGAATGTATGTATACATATTTGTATGAATGTATGTATACATATTTGTATGAATGTATGTATACATATTTGTATGAATGTATGTATACATATTTGTATGAATGTATGTATACATATTTGTATGAATGTATGTATACATATTTGTATGAATGTATGTATACATATTTGTATGAATGTATGTATACATATTTGTATGAATGTATGTATACATATTTGTATGAATGTATGTATACATATTTGTATGAATGTATGTATACATATTTGTATGAATGTATGTATACATATTTGTATGAATGTATGTATACATATTTGTATGAATGTATGTATACATATTTGTATGAATGTATGTATACATATTTGTATGAATGTATGTATACATATTTGTATGAATGTATGTATACATATTTGTATGAATGTATGTATACATATTTGTATGAATGTATGTATACATATTTGTATGAATGTATGTATACATATTTGTATGAATGTATGTATACATATTTGTATGAATGTATGTATACATATTTGTATGAATGTATGTATACATATTTGTATGAATGTATGTATACATATTTGTATGAATGTATGTATACATATTTGTATGAATGTATGTATACATATTTGTATGAATGTATGTATACATATTTGTATGAATGTATGTATACATATTTGTATGAATGTATGTATACATATTTGTATGAATGTATGTATACATATTTGTATGAATGTATGTATACATATTTGTATGAATGTATGTATACATATTTGTATGAATGTATGTATACATATTTGTATGAATGTATGTATACATATTTGTATGAATGTATGTATACATATTTGTATGAATGTATGTATACATATTTGTATGAATGTATATATACATATCTGTATGAATGTATGTATACATATTTGTATGAATGTATGTATACATATTTGTATGAATGTATGTATATGTATATATATGTGCATATATATATTTCTATATATGTATAGATACAATATACATGCACAAACACACACAAACTTTTACATGTATATGTATATATATGTATACATATGTGTTTGTGTGCGCATTATATATATTTCCACATATGTAAATATATATACATATATTTGTATACACGTACGTTTATGTATATGTATGCGTATGTATATATACATATGCGTTAGATATCCATATATATTAAGTAGATATACATGAGAAGGGAGGGTATGCAGGCAAACTGCCCTGGGACTTTTGATCCATGAAAGTGAGCCTTCTTTTTTCTGTTGCTTAAGTGAGAATAGGTTAGGTTAGCTTAAGTAAAGTAAGGTGAAGTAAAGCAAGATACAGTAAAATGAAGTAAAGTTACGAAGTTGAATTAAGTTTGGTTAAAGTTTGGTTTGGTTAGGTTAGGTTAGATAAAATG